ACAAACAAAAAGATGATTTATAGGTGCTGTGCAGTGAAGATGGTGAAATTAAGGGTAATGCAGATATGGCCCCAAGATGAATACTTTGGCTCAGTTTTCAGCAGGGATGATGATGTTAAACAAGGCTGTGTTGCTAATGGGAATTTGAGAATGGAAATAGAATTAACCACATCTAAGGTGGACGCCAAACTCTAAAGAGATTAATGTGACTGAGTCAGCTTGCTGCGGAGGCACATCCTAGAAGAACTATGAAAGATCTGGTTAAAGAAACTACAAGTCTGCTAGCAAAGACTTTTAATGTGTTTATCAGAGATGATAGCTTTTCCTTCAAAAGGCAAGTGTTGGATCTAACTTAAGGCAAAAAGTGGAGAAGTCTAGGCAACCACAAGTCTCGCTTCAAGAATATGCGATATTTCAAAATATACATAGGATTAAAAACAGGTAAGGACATGAAGATGGAAAAGAAATTAAATTTCACTCACTTTAGCAAGAGTAGATCGTGTCTGAAGACCTGACAAATTACTTTTATTAGTAAGAGAATGAGATGCAACTCAGTTACCAGGAAAGCTTTTGACACAGCGCTGCGTAGGAAATTGCTTGTTAAGCTGGAGAAAATTTGGATTAGCAGAAGAATTGTGAGGTGGAAAAAAATGAAAGATCATGTTGAAAGGAGAAATACCAAACTGAAAGGAAGTTACTCGTGGAGTTCTTCCAAGATGTGTCTAGGGACTGATCTTATTTAACATTTTTAACAACTTTGGCAGAAAAAGTAGTGCTGTGCTCATGAAATTTTCTGATAATGCAATATGTAGTAGTGTGAATGTGGAGGAGGACAGTATACAGGAAGAACTGGATAAGCTTCAGGACTGGGATAATAGAAATAGGATGAATTTGAATAACCCAAAAGGTGAGGTCAGGCATTTTAGGACTCGTAATTTTTCCCCAAGCAGGAAGCTTTGAAAAAAGACCTGGGAGTGGACTATTTGATCACCGGATGGCACGATATGTGATGTGTCTGTGGAGAATACAAATGTAGCCCTTGAATGTATCAGGTGGGGAACCTCTGCAAAGATAAGTACCGGTGCCATTTTGTGACACAAATTTCTTTAATGGTAAATTAGGAGGTTTCTAACCAGAAGAACCATACATTTCTGCAACAGCCATGCATCAATCCAAATATGCTGATAATGCAGAACCTCATCAGTTAATGGAAACTGGTACAGCAAGGCAGCTGGGGGAGACTGGAGGCAGCAGTACAGGAGAACTCTTCTGGATCTGGCTTCCTTCACAGCTTCAAACAGAGCTCAGATATTCGGCTTGGTAGAATAGCCCAAAGGCCAGATTAAGCTTGAATTCTACTTTTGGTGAAAAAATAAGCCCAAATTTGTTAGAAATATCAGTAGCTATTAATCACTTGACTAACTCACAGCCTCCAAATATGTATTTGTCCCTGCAGAGGCAAATGATCCCCACTAATAACGTATCCCCTATCATCACCTGTAACAAATCCTGTTAGTGACTTGATTTTCAGCAACTTCAACAGTGCATCTGGCTAGAGTTAGTAAATGTTATTGTTAAATCACATTTTTTCTCTTTATAGGTAATTTTCACCAGATATCCCCCAAAACATGCTGGATAATACTATGGAATCTTAATCCCTAAGATTTTCATGTAGTACTGTCAAAATAGATGACATATTTTCAGTAGCTGGGTTTTCAAACTGCTTACCACCATTTTTGCATTATGTAGGGGTCTCTGCAGCTCCAACCCACAGATGGTTGAAGGCCAGCAGGGTGAGTCTATGCCTCATCACCTACCCCAGAGGATCAGGAGAGTCTTGCTTGCTATGATTTTGATTTCTGTTAAACTGATTTCTCTGCATTTGATAATCAAGACAAAAGAGCCCTCATTTGATAAGTACACTCTATTTAGCTGTTATGAAGTGCTCAGGTGAAGGTTTCTGCTGTGTTCTGCTTAGTGTACATAGGACTGCTCTGTGAAACTATTAACTTATTATTTAGACACTGGATGGGCACATTTCCAGTAGATGACTGGATGCTCACATTTTTATTTGCTAAAGATTTCTTTGACCTTAGTGAAAACCGAAAGAGAGGAAATAGCATTCAAGGAGGCAGAACTTAAAATGAAAAACACATGAAAAAGGAACTCCCTGAGGAATGGAGGAATGGAGCACTGGCTGAACTTGGGGGTGTTTGCTGTTTGGCAGCCTTGCCAGGACATATGCAGAACAATATTTGAAGTTTAAATTCTCCATGTGCAAAGGAAAGGAAAAAAAAAAAACACAAACAAACTAAAAAGTTTAACCATGGGGGTTGCATCCCTGAGATGCAAAAAGAAAACCTTTTCTTTTAATAACAATCTAAAAAATGTGGGTTATTTGGTGAATTCATTAGCAGAAGCTGGGTCCGCATATGTCTTTCATTTTAAGATACCAAATTAAATTACAATTGATTTCTATGGTCACCTTATTTTTTTATGGGAGTGAGAGGTTGCTTAGTGAAAGGCATTTATTTATGACTAATTTAAAGTATAGAAGATTTGTTACAGTGGCCCACACCTGCCACAACCTTTGATTTATGCATGTGCTGACTTGCTATGTTTGCCTATGGGTAGCTTAAAATTACAGACCTGGTGCACATAGACTGCATGATTACAATATCAAAAAATATCATCAGAAAACATTAGAATTTTCTACATGCCACAGTCCAAAAAACTTTAAGTGCGGGAGCTTTCAGCTCCAGCTCACATTGCATTTTTGTACAGGCACGTACAAATTCTCTGTATTCTCTGGAATATAAGGCTTACTTAATAAGAGAAAAAGAAACATTTTGCTGAGTGGAACAGTGAATATGGTTCTGATTTGCTGCTAACATAGACTCATCCTTCTGAGCCTTAAACCAATTTCAAGTCAGGAAAGAGAGGTGGTGGAAAAACCTTTTTAGAATCTCTGGCAGAGAGCCCAGAACACAGCTCATCACATTGCAGCAGTATGATGGTGACAAGGTTGTCTGCCACTGACTCATGCCCCACAAAGGACTGTCTGCAGAAGACAGTTTGGGAACTGCTGCTCTCAGTCATAAATATTGTCTGTCTATGGTCTTGAAATAAAAACTTTTCCCTTTGTGTGAATAATTTTACACAGTTTTAATGATTTTAATTATTTTATGTAAAGAGTCTTAAATCTGACTTCCTGCAGCTGAAGCAGTAAAGTTTTGCCTCCAGCGGTCCTATCAGGCTCTAAAAGTATTCCACCTTAGCTGTTTTCCGTCCTGTGGGGAGGCAGACCTGTGAATCTCATACTGATGATAATGTGTGAGGCAGGGGGCAGAGATGGGACAGAGCCAGGAATGGAGAATGGACATGGGATGTGCAGCCTGACACTGCTGGCAACATCAGGCCCTACTGACTGGAGCGCTGTAACCATTAATGCCCATGATAAATCCTTACATGATGCAACGGAAACCAATCCTGCCTCGTTTCTTCATTGTAGTGGAAGAGACCATGGAACAAATTAGCCCATTTAGTGGGTAACTGGTCACCCGTCTGGAGACCCATCACCATCAGGCAAAGACAGAAAGTCAGCACTAACACCATCTTGCTGAACTGGTAGTTTTGGAGTGGTTTACTACTACGCAACTGATCATCCTGAAGAAGGAGGTTATAACATAAAGCTCTGCATGCAAGTAAAAATCCAAAACAAAATAGAAAACCCAGTCTTCTTTTCTATATGTAGCTTCCTGTTGTAAAGATTACCTTTTTTTTTTTTTTTTTTCCAAAAAAGAAACTACCAAGCTTAATGGAGCTAAACAGACTTCCAGAACATCCCTGATTGACGGGGGGTGCAATTCTGACTTGTATAAGTGCCATGATCTGCCTTTTCTGTTTTCCCCATTCACCTCTCCACTGCCTTCACCCTGCTTAATGAACATACAAGGCTCTTGAGACAGGTTTCCTTTCCTTTTTCTGAAGTAGCAAACTTCTGCTTAGTCTTCCACCATCTTTCTACATGCAGGGCATAGAGGAATAATCCTCAAGGTCTCTGGCAGTTTATTTAGTTCAGTCTTAATGGGAAAAGTACCTGGGAATCCTTTTCTGGGTTCAGATAACTACCTGTACAACATCTGCAGTTTTCTTGCTGATAGGACATGTGTACAACATTCAGATTTTTTTAGTTGCATCATGTTATTTGATACATACATGACATCTGTAATGTAATTCATAAAACAAGCTGTGGCACCTCACATACCTATGTATTTACTGAACCTCAAAATACAAAGACTTGTCTTTAATGCCTTGTTTACTTCTGTTTCCATAAATCTTAATAAAAACCTCACAAGATTTTAGATATTAATACAACACTTATACATGAGTAAACATAAATCAGCACCCTCTACATCTTTATCCACAGTAAAATCTCAGATGCAGCTAAATAAATGAAAAGCAAACAATTTTTTACCACAACTAGAAGTTTCATATTAAGCAACACTGGGTATCTTGTTTGACTGAGTGAGTCTGGAAGCCACTTAGAACTTTCGTTTAGATTTTTCCTTTTGTGTCTCTTCAAAATGTTCTTATTATTGAATATCGTATGTCGTGCTGTGTTTCTAAATTCATGCACATTTCCTGCTAAGAACATATGGAAAAGAGTAGATGGTTCAGAGTGAAATCTGGATGACATAATAAACCGTGAGAGAGAAGCTTGAAGGATTAATACAGATCCAAAGACTGAAACTGTGTCTACTGTTAAGAATACACCACCATTTTTGTATAGTACAGAGTTTTATGAGGCAGAAATAGGAAAATATAAAACTCAGACTGTTACAGAAAGTTAGGATTTGGTATACAGATATTTTAGATATAATGGCAATTTAGAAATGACAATTCTTCAAGCATTTCCTCATCCTAGTCAATTATAAGAGTGGGCAGAGCCTGTGTAAATTTCTACTGTCATCTTGGTCCATTATGTTCTCTTTCTCTAGAGTCTATTTTCTTCTCAACCAAAGGAAAACTACCAGTGTTTCACCTCACTAAGGTAGGTGAAAAATGCAATGTGCGCAGATCTGCTGCTGACAGCTGTATCAAGCAGGCTGGTGAACAGCCGTAATCATGGGATACTAATCAATTAATAAAGAGAGGTGGTGTTGGTTTTTACATTAATACCCAGAAATGCACTTTTGGCCAGACCCACAACTAGTAAAACATTTTTCATTTAAATGTCTGATTTCCATAGAGATGTAGAGATTAACCCTAAATGAAGGGGCCACAGCTCTTCTCGCTGTGTGTCTATGCAGACAGGGCAGACATAGGCTCACTGCTCAGCCTTCCTCAGGCAGACACAGTCACTATGGTTGCCACCCTGTCACCTGGGGCTATTGCCAGGCTCACTTCCAGAAATGTGTACAGCTGGTACAGGTGGTAGTTACACCCACCCTTCACCTGACACACTGGTCACTCCCATGTCTGTTTTCTGTGATGATGTAGGCAAATCACAACAGATTCCCCTCAGCAAGCTAAGAATATTTCCAAGCTATTCTGCAAGATATACACCAGTCACTTTTGTCTCCTTAGATTGTGTATGGAAAGAAGACAATCTGTGGGAGCAGTTTTAGACTCCTCTCTTCCTATGAAGTGATTCACCATCAGGAGGTGCCTGTTTTTCTCAACAGCTATCAAGGAAGCATAAGGCTAGGAGCCTTGTCCTGATCCAGACCATACATCTAACTTTCAAGCTCCTCAACCAGAAGAGATGAACTTTACTGAAACTTTTCCTAAAAGTGTAAGAAGTATTGAAATTAATCAAAATATGCACTTAAAAAAAAAACCAACAAAAAAAAAGAAGTTTTTTGAATAGAGTACGTCTAAATTTCCTTACTGATATGTTCCTCATGTCTGTGAAGACACCTTACGGCTGCATTGTTCTGGCAGAGGGTGATGGCATCCAGTAAGGATCCAGCGGCTGATTGCTCCTGAGAAGCAAGTCAGTGAGTGCAAGCCCTGCTAGGAAGTGTGATGAGGATTTTCTAAGACAAGCTCCTTCCTCAGCTGGAGACAGAGTAGGGCTTGGAGAAGACATGATGTGACTTGTTCCCAAGAAGAGCTGAGGAAGCTGTCCAAGAGGATTCTGTGGGAAAGGCCCAAGGGGGATCAGGAAGGCACAGAAGACGTAAGCATTTGTCTGGATCATGGTCTGTCAGGAGCTTGAGGATTAAGGGATGTGCAGAGTAAGCAGGAGAAGTAAAATGCCTGAGCTATATGAGACAATCTTCAATCAGTCCTTCTGTATGAGGACTAGGAGAGCATGGCAGCACCCCATCCCTTCCTTAGCCTATCTAAAGAAAAACCCAGGGCTATGTGAGCAAAGGTCTACCTATTTTAGAGAGGGAGAAGTTATGAATATGTGAAAGAAGGCTTTTTCTGTATGTTGATAAGGCTAGACCACATGTGACGGTCTGCTCTTGAATGAGTGGACATCCACTCAGCTTTCTCTATGTTATATGCTTTAATGCATGTAATCACATCACTAGGAAAAAACGAAAAGACTGACGTGGCTATTTCATATTGTTGCTCAGGGAGTAAGTGGTGTTTAATAGCTCTTCACTGTAGGAATAGTAGTTCAATATCTCCTGTAAACCTGAGAGACTGTGACTTTTAAAGTATTTAACTATTCACTTTTAAAAACGAGAACTAACCATGCATCTTCTTGTAATAAATGCCTTTCTTTCTGTGCACATTCTAGGCTAAGGATAATAAGGCTTCTTACAAGTGAAGGCACTACAGACAGAACTTGAAGCTGTTACGAATAACATACTGGAAAATTTCCCCAGGCAGCTGATCTAATTTTGATTGTCAAAAAAATCTGTGTTCAGCATGAAACCGCCTGTAATTGTAGCCTTAGTGATCTTTTTCACAAGTTATTAAAATGAGTTTTTAGTCACATCATGATAAAGTTGGCAATAAAGACATTGGAAAGAAGGGAGAAAAAAGATCATTCTTATGTGGCTGCCTCCTTAGAGTCCCCCAGTCAAATTCTAGCAGAGCAGCAATAAAAATACCATATTATTTCCTGCTGGTCGGCAAAAGGAAGCTGTCCTGCAGAATCTGCTTCCTGAACATCAGAAAACACTGGCATGGAAACACATCTAAGTTTGCACAAGAGAGGATTGATTAGTATAAATCTCTGCAGCTCAGTAGTATTGCCCAAATCCTTTACTGAGTGTTGAGGTGTATTTCGTACAGTTGAAGTATAGAAATAAAATATTAAAAGGTTGTATGTCTTTAATTGCCAGTCCGTTTTCCTGAATACAATTACCCATTATTTTAACTTCCATTCCTTGTGCCAGAGCTATGTCAGCGTGGAGTCAGTCCTCGCTGCAGCAAGACGTCTGTTTCCGTAAGTGGTCATTTTGCCTGAGGGGGGTCTAAAGGATTGTATCCTTGAAATTGTTTATCTGTGCTGATTACAGTAGAGAAACAAAAAATATCCATAAAATCAGTAGTTAATCGTAGCCAGGAAATAAGTTATACTGAGTCACTAAACCTGGCAAAGGTGGCTGTTTAACAGAAGCTACTCTGAGCCAGTTCCTGTATATACTCCACTGAAGCATAGCCATGGCATTTAATTTAGGTACAAATGCCAAATTAAACATCTAATTGACTTTTCTTTTACACTAAGTTGTTCTGACTTTGGCTATACGTTGCTGTAGGTACTGCTACAGATACTATTAAACCAAGTATGAAGACGGGACAGTGCTAGTTTCAGTGGGAAAAGAGCACCATTTCAATGCTATTCATTCTGCTGCAATAAAAACCAATAAAATAAAAAATCCCTTACAGTAATGTCCATATTGAGAACTTACAGAATTCTTGTCTCTTTTCTACATCGCGGGGTGGATAATCATACAATATTTGGTTAACTCTCATTGTGGTGAAAATGCTTTTGGGAACATAATTTTCTATCACACAACAGACTTTCAAATCTGTTTTAACATTTTATTCTTGGATGTGTAAACAAATTCTGAGAAGCAGGCCTACTAAACCTTTCATTCCTCTGTCATCTTACTAATGCATCACAGAGAAGTTATTCTCAGCTTTCACTGAAGCCATTGTATTCCTAATCCACTTCAGTCTGGGAAAATAACACCCTGCTTTAATTAAGAGAGCAATGAATGTAAACTGACTTCAGAGAAGAGCTAAACTCTTCTTCCCCTCTGAAAATTCATATGCTGAGTGATGTGCAGCAGAAATCCCTTATACCTGAATGACATGTTAGCACTGACTTCTTATGAGAGGATGAGAGTCTGATGTTATGGGTGCCAACTCCGGCCACTGTGATTTACGCCCATGACTCTGAGAAGAGAATCTGGTCCCCAGTTTCTCCACTGCTTCTCAGCTATTGTCAAAGAGAATACATTTTGTTACTCGAACATCTCAGTTGCATGAAAAAGGAGGCTTTCTGAAAAATGCGTTCACAGAGTTCAGTCTGTTTCTCTATCTATTTGCTTTCCCTCAAGATCTCACAGTTTTACAGTTCCTGAAATATCGTTGGGGCATAAGAAAGGGTTTGCACATTTCTCAATTCTCTATACCTCTTTCTTGCAATGGAGTAGCTGCACATTTTGTGAGGCACAAAACTCAAGAAGAGGACTCCTCTTAAGGAAATCTTAAGCAGACTTTAGACAGGTAGAATGCAATCAGAGCATGGCTGGGCCTCTGAAGTTGCTTTCCCTAGTCTTAAAAAATAAACACGCAGAAGTGATCTGATAACTGTTTCATGTTTCTCCTGTGAGATGCTTCCAGGAGATCATGGTTTCTTCTAGCCCATGAATTTGGTCCAGAAACATTATAAGCAGCAAAGGCTATATAAAGTGAAGCTGGCACAGACCGTGACAGGTCACTTATTAGGTATCAGAGTGCAACAAGAGGCACTCTGTGGAAGGGGGAGTGGGTGTTCCTTGGCGTATTTACAGATACCACTCTCAGGTGTGGCCCCCTCATCAGAGATGGATGCTGTCTGAAGAGGCAATTCAGGAAGGAAGCCTGGAAGCATGTGGGTGTGAGTCCTGCCCCAGGGAAAAAAAGGGGAATTGTTTATTCCAGCAGTAGGAAAAGAGCTGGCTTTCCATTAGGGTTAGGCCATTTATTCCTAACAAATAGATTATTCACTGAAAAACACGATTTTTGTTGGCCTGAAATTATGCTTGAATTCAACCCACATCTGCAGAGCTATTTAAGCTGTTTGTTTTTTCTGTCTCCAGAGGTCCATGCGTATAAATTTATTTCCTCAGGGCTAGGTGTGAGTCTGTGGATGGGGATGGCCTCCCCATTCACCCAGCAAGCTGAATCTTCATTGAAGCTGTGCAAAACTCACTTTTAGCTTTATATTTCCTCTGAGGAGATATGAACATATCAGTCCCACCAACCCAGTAACTGATCCTACCACCATGCTCTAGGGCAGGAGTTTCTACAGAGCTTACCACTCATAGTGCACAGGTTGCTTCAAAGTGACAGAAGCAGAAGCTGGTCCAATAACACATCCCCAGAGTAAGGGGTCTTGGAGTGTGTATACAAACAAAATCTCTGGAAGTAGTGCAGAAGGGGCTCCCAGCAAATCTCTGCTCTTGCTACAGGCTCCTTTCACAATTATAGGTTGAACAAGGATGGTTGCAGTGCCTATGGCCTTTGGGTATTCACCGAAGTGTCAAGACATTTATAGTCCAGGCCTTGTGCTGGTGGCTTTTTATGTTGTTCCATACAAAATGAAATGGTGACATCAGGACCAGCATGAGAGTTCCATTGTGGTTTGGGAGCTGGGTGCCCTGCTGGGGCAGTATGTCCCATCACGATATGGGGAGGATGCAATGAGCTGGGAAGTGAGGCAGAAGGACGCTGCTGTCTCTCCCCCTTCATTACGGCCCCATAGACTTTTTCAGCCTTGTACACAGCTTTCCCTTTCACAGTGATGTCTCAGATGAAGCTGTGGTATTTTTTAATTGATGTGAAACATCCTCTCTACCAAAATGAAGCCTTACGACATTTTACTTTTGGTTGGCAGGGCTCAAACTGAAGAATAGCTTTGGTTTAGTTCTGAAGTCCAAACTGTCTAATTTGGGGGTTGTGTTTAATTTCATCTGCTTCAGTGAACAAACTGAAAAACCAGTTCTTATACCCCTAATCACTGTGTGAATTTATTTCCACTAAATGATCCTTACCCAGACACCATCACTTTTTTGCCTGGCTGTCCTGAGCCAGCCATCAACTGACTGGGCTTGTGTAACAGTGTTTTTCTGTAAGGATGTAAGATCGATGTCCCCTGGTTTTTGGTTGCTGGTTGGTTTCTTGGCTGGATGTTGAAGTATTGTTAAGTTCTGCCTTACTTACTCATGTTGGATTTTGCTGACATAACCGATACTGGTGTCACCAGAGGGATGCAATCATGAGTCCCCTCAGTTTAAGAGAGGAAAAGTTTCAAATACAATCTTCTGACCTTTAAAGTGTACTACAAAGACTGTCTATTTCCTAAGGCTTTTTAGGAAGAATTGAGGGAATGAGTGGGACAGGATATGTTTTACTGCTTTGAATTACTAGCTGGCTAAGTTAATTTAATTTTCTTTTGCATGAGCTATGTTGTGTTGTACTTGTATTTTAAACAACTAGTAATGTGCCGAAAGCTATGGATATTCATTGTCCTTTGTATTTTAGTTGTACTTAATAAAATGAGAACAATGGGAGCAAAAAAACTAACCTTAGAGGTGAGCCATAATTAAGCATTATTTTGTTTCTAACAGACATGTTTTAATTTCTCAGCTATAACAGGGGGCATAAGCAAAGCAGTTAAACACCTCCTGAGCAAGTGAGAAGCAAATAGCTCTGGGTTTGTTACTGTCTGAAATAAAGACCTTGTTTTTTTTATAAGCACCTAACAAAAAACATTCTTTACTGTTCATATGATGTTTATTTTGTTAATAGGATAGACAAAAGAGATAATAACAAATTAGCAGGGTCTCCAATGGAAACTATTGATATGTGACAGCTGGTCAGCTGAACTCAGAGTTGTGGTTTGAGCCAGCCATATGAGTAAGACATATCATACTATATTTGACAATAACAGGAAAACAGAGAAAAACCCCAGCAAATCTTCAAAGGAGAACTTGGATTTTAAATTTTACATTGAGCATCCTGTGATTGGTATAATGTGATTGAATGCAATGATCATGGTAAACCAGCACCAATAATTTCCTTTAAGCTTTGAGTTTGGAGCCTAATAGGTTGTGTGGGTGGGTTTTAAGTGTTTTCTGAAGGAGAAAATACTGACACTTCCACCTGTCAATACTACGATTTTGTGGGCAAATTTCATCTGTTCCCATCTGTCATTCCTATCTCCA